TTTATGTGCCAAATCTTTCATATAATCTCTTAAGTATTGGACAACTCTTGTAAAAGAATTTTTCGGTGCGCTTTGATTATGAAAGATGCAAAATCTTTGATAAAAAGAAAAATATCATAGTGGCAAATGTTGAAATGAAAAACAAAACCTTTTGTCTCATGTTGCCACTAGACAACAATTGTGCACTCAAAGCTCAAAATGCAGATTTGTCACATCTATGACATTTGCGATATGGTCATTTAAATGGTAGAGGACTTCAACTGCTCGAGGAGAAAAATATGGTGATCGGACTTCCTAAAATTCAAAGGATAGACAAAGTGTGTGAAGGTTGTGTCTATGGAAAAATGCATAAGCTTCCATTTCCTAAAACTTCATGGTGAGCTAAAATGCCATTGGAGCTTGTTCATTCAGATATTTGCGGACCAATGCAAACTCCTACTCTTAGAAATAAGAGATATTTCATTCTCTTTGTTGATGATTACAAATTATTCTAGAACTTTTAACATCTGTTTCTCATTAATTAAATGCATTACTTCTGTAACATGACTACCAATTTTGGAGAGTTTCAAACTGATGAAGGGTTTCCATCGCTAAACAGATTAAACAATGGGGTGCGTTAATTAAGGGCTTCAACGCGGTTTACATATGAGAAATTGAGGTTATTTAAGAATTCCTATCTGTGCATTTCAATAGACAGGGAATTCTTCTGATTATATAAACCCTATTTGGTATCTTGGAGTCTTATGAAGATTTAGTTTTTAATGCGATATACATACTAGAAAAAATGAGTTCGATTAAGTTTTTTCTCCTTGTTATTCTTAGAGGGTTCTTTCTTTGATGAAGAACACTTCTTTCGCCACCACAGGGGACATGTTGGCGCGGGATTAGGTGGCGGACGTGAAGGAAGATGAGGGGGTTGTGGTAGTGACGGATTGGGTAGAGGGCCTAGTGCTGGATTTGGTGGAGGACCAGTAGGTGGATTAGGAGGACATGGAGGCGGATTGGGTGGAGGACCAGGAGGTGGATTAGGAGGACCTAGTAGTGGATATGGTGAAGGACCTGGAGGTGGATTTGGTGGAAGACCTGGTGGTGGATGTGGTGGAGGGCCTGGTGGTGGAGTAAGAGGACCTCCAGGTGGCGGTTTTCAGGGAGGACCTCCTGGTGGCGGCTTTGGGGAAGGCCCTCCTGGTGGCGGCTCTGGTGGAAGACCTCCTGGTGGCGGCTTTGGGGAAGGCCCTCCTGGTGGCGGCTTTGGTGAAGGGCCTCCTGATGGCGGCTTTGGAGGAGGACCTCCTGGTGGCAGTTCTAGTGGAGGACCTCCTGGTAGCGACTGTGGGGGAGGACATCCTGGTGGTGGCTTTTGTGGAGGACCTGGAGGTAGAGATGGTTGCTAGCCTGGTGTTCAATTTCCTGGATAAAAAATATATATTTTTCCAATTCCAACCATCTTCTCAACGCTAAATAATAATGTTATTCAGCCGTATCAAGTATGTATGGTAAGTCGAATGTTCAATGTTACATTGTTACCATCAGTTTCTATTTTTCTGTAAATTAATTAAATCCTGGTTTCTTTTTTGAACAAATATATAATTAATCTTCTTTCTCTTTGGTTAACAGAAATCTAAATGAATAAAAAACTTCACTATGATTTCAAATCTTTATATATTCCTTTTAAATAAATAATAATGAACAGAAACATTGTATCTTCAAAAAAGTCATTGCAGGTTGGTCAGCTGAAAACAAATTACAGAGAGATTTTTTTCTGAATTGTTTTATGTTAAACACCAACAATTAATTACTCTTTTATTGTCGGTTAACTTATGCAGGATGAGTTAATTTTTTTAATCGAACCAGCATGAAGATGAAATTTTTGTTTTTTAAACTGAAATAATAACGAATAGATTTTACCTCCGGTCATTGAAAGTAAGCTTGATACTCCGTGTATTTATTGGTCAAGTTAGGTATTTCATTGGCTAGTTATAAATGTCATCGGTCAAGACCGTCCTCTTTGGAGTATTCTTGGTTATGTACATATCCAATCGTTGAAATATTGTATCACTCGTCAATAATTTCTGCGGACATATGCATTCCCGCAAATATAGATATTTGCATTGCTCTTAAGAAGGGTCATCCTCTAGATTCTCAAGCCATGTTTCTCGCATTTTGTAGAGCAAGATCTAATTGATCTATGTTCACTAGCTTTTTTCTATTTTTCGTTTGAATTTCTCACATATCTTACGAATTTCTGAAAACTATGTTACGAAAAGTTAGAATTTATTATGTTCGATATCAATTGGTCTTAGTTTGACATGGTTTACACCTTACTATTTTCGAAAGAGTTAATATCTCCATTAGATAAACCCTTTCTTGTATGAATCTCATGACTTCATTAAAAACTATGCAATTTTGCTTAAGGTAGACATGACTCTAGTGTATGTGTGAACCTCTATATAATCCCATATAGCCTTGTTTACATTCCATGCAAACAGTAATTCCAGTATTGGTCCAAAATGTCTCCTAAGTTTCTCATTTTGGTGTTTCTATATGCTCTTAAAGCTGCTAGTGCTAGAGAACGGTTAGTCCAGCCGATCTTGGAGATAAGGGACACGATAATGGTGGTGCAATTGATGGCAATGGCATTGGCACCAAAGCGGACATTGACATTGGAGCTGGTGCTGGAGGAGGGGGTGGTTTTGGTGGTGGAATTAACATTGGTTTTGGCCATGGATTGGATATAGGTGGAGGCTTTGGTGGTGGAATCGGTGGAATGTTGGGTATTGGTGGTAAGGAGTGGATATGGTTCCATTTGGTTCTGATTCTAAGAGAATCGAACCAAACTATGAACCTACGATTTTTTCGATAATGGAACAAAATATTTTTTTTAAGATATGGAACTAAATCAAACTGAACCGTTCGATTCTAGTTTAGTTTGGTTTGGTTTCATTTCTTAAATTTTCAGACTTGCACCATATAAGTTAATAATATATACCTAAATAAAAAATGATAAATAAAATATTTAGCAAATTCAAATTATCAATCATTAAGATCAAAAAGGTCAAAATTAACAAACAATATATAGTCATAATTTGAATACACAAATCAATTTCCATTCCCTTACAAAAAATTATTTAATAAGTAATATCAATGATTCATAAATCAGTTGTAGCAATTTTGATGGTGCACCCTCACAATAAAAGGATAAATTATGCAAAACTTTTACGGTCTGCTTTTACAGGCAACCATTAATCGTTTAATACTTCGTGAATATTATTGAATTTTCCTCTATTTGTGAACAACACAAATAATTCATCAAACAATCAGGGTAAAATTAGTGTTAAGGACTTTTAAGTGATTGAATAATTTCAATTTTTGACTTTAAAAGAGTCTCCTTCATTGACTTGATGAAATGTGGTGTTAGCATGTCGCAACGTTGTGTAAATTGAATAGGAGTGAAAGAGAAATGATTCAAAGAATACAAAATTAGGATGCACACAATTAATGAGCTGTCTTTAATAAATATAAAATTAGGGTCTCAATATATATATATATATATATTATACCTCATTTCATATTAGTCAAAAGTTAATATTATTTATTCAAAGTCAAATGTTTGACTGGTCAAAGTCAAAATCAAATAAGGACTTAATTGAAATGAATCATTTTAGTGGGACGTGAACTAACCAAATTATTTTTGAAGGTTTATTTTACAAATCGAAAATATTTTGAGGGTTTAAAATGGATAAAAATTAAAGTTGGGAATTATTTTTCTACTTTTGGAAGTTAAGTATTTAAAAGCTTTTCTATATGAAGGTTGGAGGACTTAAATGCAAAAATGGGTTATGGGGTACATGTGGCAAGTAATTAACCCATTACCAACTTTTATATGATACACACACAGGAGACAAAAAGGGTTGAGACCGGCAGTAGCAAGAAAAAAACCAAGAAATATAAGAGGAAAGATAAGGAGAGAAAAAAAGAAAGAGAAAAAGACAGAGAAGAGAGAAAAGACAAAGAAAAAAAAAAGGGAAGAAGAAGAAGAAAAAAAATATATAATTTTTTTGCCAATGTGTTAGAAATTAAGTGGTCTAAAATTATTAGGCTTGAATTCTTCAATTTTGAAAGGTAAATAAAAAGTTACTTATTGTCAAGTTATGTATGATTTTAAAATTGTTAGATTGTTAGGTTAAATTCAATTTTATTGAAATGGTTAAGTATAATAAACTATGAAATTGAGTAAAATGAAAGAAAAATTAGTTTTAATGATTAAAGAGACTTTAGAAATCGTCTAAACGTGAAATGATTTAGTTTGGGCATCGCCTATTTAATTATTGAAATTATTTAAAATAATTAATTGATTATTTAAAAATTATATTGTATTTCAGGCAACGATACTGACATCAGAATAGCTTACCAATCGGGTTGATTTTGCGAACATAGTACTGTGAGTGGAAAAATATAAATATTTTTAAAATATTTATGAATTAAGCATATTGTTAAAGTATGTGCAATTATGTGTTCGAATTACATGGTTATTATGGAAATCTCTTTTATTATGATACATATGGAATATCAAAAATTATTTATGGCATATTTGTGACTTGATATGTAAGACATGTGATGTTGAGATTTGTTTGGTATATGAGACATGCAATATTGAGATCGGCCAGAAAAGTACCCATGATTATATACTTCTTCTAGTTCACAGAGGGGCCTTGATCATGTTCTATCCTACACGGAGGGTCTTGACCTGACATTGGTCTTGACCGTATACATATAGTTCACAGAGAGGCATTTGCCGTATTCTAGAATTGATTATGAGAAGTCTTCGAGATCGACTTTCGTTCATGGAGGGGCCAAAGGCTCGTGACGAAAGTGCTTAACCCAAGGGGCAGATTATATATTTTAGTCAGATGATACATTTTTGGTGGATCACATGTGATGTGATGAGATGATGGTATAGATATCAGCTGATGACTATATCATGGATATGAGATGATATTTACGGAGTTATGAGAATATCTCATTTTTTGTCTATATTCATATGAGGTTATCGTGTGAAATATTAAATGATATGAACTTGATGTTTGATAAAAATGTTTAAATGAGAAAGCATAATTATTTTCGAACTCTTCCACTCACTAAGCTGTCAACTCATATTTTCCTAAATTTATTCTTACAGGTAATATTGGTCTTTGATAGCTTGAGGAGCCCGGTGATTTCAGAGTTAGAGCTACACGACATATTGATGAGTCAATTTGATAAAACACGATGTAATTTTGGGCCCATTGCACTACGTTTTTATAAACATTTGATTTTGTCGTATATTTTGTAGTAATTCATAGTTAGCCTTGGTGATAGATTTGACATCTAGTTAGCATTTATTATTGGCGCACATCACTTTTCGAGTCCACTAGGATGATTCGGGACGAATCGTGTCAATATATATATATATATAGAGAGAGAGAGAGAGAGAGATAACCAAATGCTTTTCAATTCAAAGAAACAAACCATTAATTTTTTTGATAGAATCGAATTGAATCTTTCGATTTGGTTTGGGTTGGACATTTTTTCCACCCCTAATAGGAGGTGGACCAGGAGGTGGTTTGCAAGTTAGAGGAGGATGTGGTGGTCGTGTAGGCAATATTGGCTTAGGAGGTGACAATGGGCTTAGTGGGAGGATTTGGTGGTGGAGGAGCTCCTCGAAGATGTGAGCCTCGGCCAGTTTCTTCTCATTTTTGGTTAATTAGAACTAAATAAGAGTGATGTAAGGCATTCTTCTTGGTGGGATTAAGTCCCTGTTTGGTAAAAATTAAAATTTAGATTTTAATATTTTAATTTCAGTCAAAATCAACAACTAATTTTAATAGTATATTTTATGGGAACTACAACTTTTTAACCACATTTAACTTTTATCAAAATCTACTAAAATATGATTTTAATTCCTATCAAACAGGTTCTCAATGTTTGTAGTAAAGTTCATGACGAATATTAAATTCGAGACGAGTTCAATAATTCTGCAAATAATTGAAAATTTTGAAAATTATCTCGATAAATAAAACTCATAGTATTTGTAAAAGACTCACTATTGGCATAAATAGTAATAATCAGTAAAATTGAGAAATTAATCTTGATCATTCGTCCTTCCTCGTCCCTAGGGTTGGACATGGTCCGGTTCAGTTTGGTTCTAACAAGAATTGAACAGACCCGAAATTTTCGGATATTTAGTAAGTGGAACTGTCGGATCCAAATTTAATTACCGAACCGTTCGGGTTCGGTTCTATTCGATTCGGTTCGGTCCGGTTCGGTTCCATTCGGTTCCGTATTATAATTAAAATTTTTAATATATACAAAGTTACATTAATTTAATTATTGATATATTTAATATTAGCTCTTACAAAATAACGTAGTTTAATCTTATGTGTTTCACGTCTCTTTTTGCTGAATTTTTCATAAATTTGATTATTAAAATCACAGAAATAGAAAGATAGCGATCTCAAAATAATTAAGAGAGATGTTGTAGAGTTTTAATTCAATTTTCTCCGGTAGAAACGACACTATAGTAGAATAATAGATTTAGATAAAATTGAGGTCAATTTGATTAAGTCGATTTTGAACTGAATATTAGAAATAGGAAAATCATATTTTGTTGTTTGAACTAAATTAACTAGTTAACAAATTATTTTAGAAAAAATAAAATAATTTTACTTATTTAAATAAATTAATTAAAAAAATTATTGAAATTCGGTTCTTATTCGGTTTTTCGGGTTTTGGCCTAGAACCGAGAACCAAACCATACCCGTCGGTTCTTGATTCAAATACCCATTCGGTTTTTAACTTGAGAAGAACCGTCGGGTTCGGTTCGATCGGTTCGGTTCGGGAGTTTTGTCCAGCCCTACTCGTCCCATTAATTATGTTTCTCTTTTGTTTGGAGTAAGTTAAAAAATTGATAAAATTTCAAGTCAACATCAACAATTATACCCCGTTTGGCCCCCATTTTTGATAATGAAAATGGGAGGAATAGTGTTTTGTTAAAAAAATGAGTGGTTGAAAAAGAAGGAAAATTTTTCGATTTACGTGTAATATTATTTTATGGAAGATTGTGTGGTTGAAAATAGGAGAGAGAAAAATAGAATGTAATGGAATGTAATTTAATGGGGATCAAACAAGAGCTTAATATCAATCACACATTTTATGAAATTTATAACTTTTTAATAATAAATTTTATCAATTTTTATCAAAATCTATTAAAAATTTAATTTTAGCCCATGTTTGTTTTCCATTCTTTTTCCATTAAAATGAAAAATATAACCGTTATCTATCACATCAAGTCACCATATTTGAATTTCTATCTTTTTTATTAGCCCCGTAATAGTTATATTTTTTATTTTCATTTTTGCATAAATGGGAAACAAATGAGGCCTTAATTTTCATGGAAAATATAGAGAAATATTCGACGTTATTAATGAAAGTAATTACTTTTCAAGGGCCGATCCAACCCATGTTGGACCTCTTATGTTTCGGAGCGGTCCAATTTAACTCGAGTGACTAAAAAGTCCAGATAGCATTAAAGCCTCAACAAATTGGGTCGAACCGGCCCATTTCATACGTTAAATCTTGGCCTGCTTCAGCATAATCACGATTCAGCCCATTAAAAGCTCACGCTCTTGGCATTTTGAATTCCGTTTTTCTCCCTCTAATTCCTTATTTTTACATTTCCTAATCTAAAGTCACATAAAAAAAAGGAAGAAAATTCATAACACAAAAATAAGAAGCTGCAAGATCTTCGCTGGCGGCTCTCTTTAGCGTTCTCGATCAGCCACCGTCAAACTCTGCCTCTCTCTCCATTATTTCAATCCAAGGTCAGTTTTTGGTATAATTCTCCTCGAGATCGGTTTTAATGTCATTCTTCTTTTTCCATTCTGCACATAATCCAATATTTGCATATCGACGTCGAGTTTATTTTCTTCCATTTATTAGATTGATAATTTTTGTTTCTTTTGCTTTTTTGTTTTTGCAGAGAAGTGATTAATAGCAAGATGCTGGGTGTTTTAAGGCGCAAAGCTGCTTGTAGCGCCTCCTCTTCTGCTTCGGTATTTTTTTGTCTATTTTTGGACATACTTGTATGTTTATATTATATATTTCGGTACGCTTATAGTTAAATATGTGCATGTGTATGTGTTCGTACTCATTTTTTAACTGTTTCTGTATATGTGAATATGTATCTTCTACTGTCATGAATATGTAGGAAAACTGAATTATGTACTTGGAACAGGTTTTAGGAAAATCATTGCGTAAAATTAGGCCTGCTACGCCAAGAGTATGCTCTTCTCTGCCAGAAGAGGTAAAATGACTTCTTTTTTTTTTTTTTTTTTTTTTCTTTTGCCTTGTGAAAACATGTTTGCAAGGTTGCCACGGTTGGTTAATTGCAGAACATTAATAACCACAATCGGGTTAAAGAGTAGATATGAAACTCTGGAACTAATAGTTGCTGAACTTTTAAATATTGGCTACTCTAATTTGCTAGACTTTATGCCAAAATTTATTTGAGTGGGGCCAGCCACAAAAATGCCATAGTTGCCTAGTCCCTGTATTTGATATGATTACACAGGCCTAATAATTTGTTAATATTTTGTTCTATTTGTATGCTGATTTCTTATGCCAAAGAAGTTCAACCTTTGGCAAGAAAAAGTTTTACCAATGTTAAAAGCTATGGCCGTAGTTTCATCTCGTTGTAGAAAATAACACCTGGTTACCAAAATTTCATGTGTGAAAGGCTGGGTTTAGACTTTGGATACAGTTGTATTAGTTAATCTAGAATTATCCATCAAGTCATTTGCAGAACCTAGGTGAGGTGGATGCATTAATAGTCAAAATGGTGCTTGTTTGGAAGAATATAATGGGATTAAAATGAAAAGGGGTAATGGGTCCCACGAAATCTGTGAATAATAAGTGGGTTGTAGTTGTGAATGTGTGGTTAAAAATTAATGTTTGACTTTGACTTCAAATTATAGTGAGATTATTATTTATCCAAACAATCATGCAATTGCTCCTAACACATTTGCATCATATAGCTTATGTTTTGAGCATGTGAACAGATTATACATCATCCAAGGGGATTTGGTAATGCTCGAACTTTCTGTCACCTACCTTTAGTTGGTATGGCTGTCTTGTTGCACTCGTGATTAAAATTAATCTATACACGTGCTTGCATTAGTTCTGAAATTGATCATCAAATTTGTCATTTTGTTCCAGATTGCTCTACGAGTTTGAGGCCAACAAGGTTAGTTATCCAATACTGACCTATTACTGTTTTCCATGCAGGTATTGCATTTTTGACAGTATTGAATTTGATCAATGAAAATTAAAACTAAAGCTGGTCAGAGAATTTCCAAATTATAAAAGTATAGCTAGAATGACAGCAGATTAAAACTGCGGACAAGTTGATGTTTCTTTTGTTGATGCACTTTGCAACCCAACTTCTGTATTGTGCAAAGTTGGAGACCGCCCTATTTAATTTTTTGAGGATGTAATCACAAGACAGTTAATTCTAAGGGAAACGTGATTAGGGACGCTCCTTGAAAGCACAGCTCTCTATTTATATTACCTACTCACTTCTGTGGAGGCCGGCCAAATTTTTCTTCTATAGTCTCCTCCAAAAACATTTCAAACTCTTAATTTTTTCTTTGGATCTTTCTGACATTGATACCTGCAAAACAAAGTCATGTCTGAGGGGATTGTGGGTTTTCCTACCAGGGGCACTATGAAGCTTAAGTACATCAAGGAATTGGGTGCGAAGAGGTTCTTATGAATGAGGTGCTGTATGAATATTGTGTCAAATGGTGTATCAAGATTCAGAGAGTATACTTTCACTCATGAGGGATAGGATGAGTTTTATTTTAGAGAGATACATAGTTTTTTATGTTAAATGGAGAGTCTTTGAATTAAGTTCCTTATCATCTTCTCATTGATTTTAGTGCTTTGTTGAAGTCCAGTTGCTAAAGGAATATTGGATATGCTTTATAAGAAATCTTGCATCAATGGACTTTATATTTGATAAAGTAAGGATTTCTATTTTACCTAGTCTTATATCTATCATCAAGAGATGCCTCCATCTTTCAAGGTGCGCGGTGGGTAGATTGCTCCTTAACAAATCATATATTTATGCATGTGATCTCATTTGCGTTTTGCAGTTGAGAGATTATATTATTTTGCTGAACACGTCATCGTTGCTTAACATGTTCATTGCCTACCCTGTTCCTATGAAGAGGCCCTATAATTAATGTAGGGAAAGTAGCACTTGCGGTCCCAGGTCTTTACATAAATTAGCACTTGCTCTCAACCTTCAATTTTGTCCCCCGTCCCTAACAAATGCATCCAGAAAACCAGTTAAAAGTCAGTGTTGGGCATGCTTTATTAGAAGCCTCTCTGGTAAAATAGTATGATGGATGACATAAAAGGTTCCTCTTTAGATAGGATCTGAACACCATCCTTTAACATGCATTCTTCTGCTATTTTCCTCTTACTGATATCCTTTTATTCGATGTTAATAATTTGGATCTGTTTGACCTAAAAAAAAAAAAAAAAAAATTGAAGAAAACTGTGTCTAATCAAACAGCTTTTGCAACTTGTAAACTCTAAGGGTTATTGGTGAGGAAAATGTCTGCCAATAAATTTGACTCTCTGCATTATATGCAGGGCAGTTGTAACCAATCTTCCACAAGATATTAACGTTCAGATATGGAGCAGATCATTCTCTTCCAACAGTGGTATTCATTTGAACCCTAAATTGAATTTTTTTCTTACAATCTGAACATTGGGCTGAAACTTTATTGCACTATTAGATATGTTGTTTGATCTACATCTTTCCGTGTTTTTGGAAAACCTCAGTCTCCATCAATAACATATTATATATTTGTCTTTCTTCTTCCGAAGATAAAACATTGATTTGGGCAGTCACAAGGAGAAAAACTGGTTATTGGAATCTTCAAATAAAAACTTAGAACCACAGAAATTTGAGTAGTATTATGAGTAATGAATTAAATCAGACTAATTGTAGTCTTTCTCTTTGTTAACTTGTTTCTTCTATTTGTCATTTTTTGGGGGAAAAGGGATATGAGGATGCATTTGTTCTATTATAATTTATGGTTTATATGTATCTGGTTTGCATAAAACTATGAAACATACTTAGAATGTCTTTGAATGGATTTTATTTTACTTTGAGAGTTGCAAATCGTTGAAGGGGAATAATTTTGGTATCCATGCAGTTATCCACTAGGTCTGATAGAGGTAATGACGTTGATGTGATTTATGGGGGCTATCTGAACTTGTGGTGTTTATGTTGTAGTTCTTTATTTCGAAACTCTGCAGTGCTTTGAAACGTAGTGTTTGCAACTAAAATAAAGCATCTTAGAGCTTATAACTTATTTTCATTGGCATGCAATCAATTTTAAGTCTCAACTTTTCCCTGTTGTCTATATGTGTGTAGAAGGTGATCTTGTAGATGCTGTTGTCCCTCATATGGGTGAATCTATAACTGATGGCACACTGGCAGCTTTCTTGAAGAGTAAGTATTTCTTTATTTATATGTAATCCGTATTTCCTTTTCACATAAACAATTATTTTTCTGAGCTTATGCCCTTTTGTTTTTATGTGCGAGTAGAACCAGGTGACAGGGTAGCAGTTGACGAGCCAATTGCTCAGGTTGAAACAGACAAGGTACTCATTCTTAATAGCAGGTGACCATGACTATATTATTCTATCCATCAATTTTTGACACGAGGTCTCAAAAAAGTGCAACACGTAAGCACATATTATTGCTCTGAGGTACTGTTAGCAGGAATGGGATAGGAACAAATTATAGACCCACTAGCAGTTTTTGCAGTGACATATATGATATAACTATTTATGAACATTGAGGCTTCCTTAAATTGCTAATGGAACAACTGTTGTCACTTGGGTTGTTTATCATCCATCAGGTCACCATCGATGTCAATAGTCCCGAAGCAGGTGTAATTCGGGAGGTAGGCTATCATCTATAATATTTGTTGCTTATTTCCAACTTCCCTGTTCTTTCCGTATTTTTTGCTGATGTCCGTTGGAACATTACTAGTTTGTAGCTAAGGAGGGAGACACTGTAGAGCCTGGCACTAAAATTGCCGTCATATCAAAATCTGCTGAAGGTGTAACTCATGTTGCACCATCTGATGAGAAGTCCTCTGAAAAAGCTGCTCCACTGCCGTCTCCTCCTGCTGAAGAGAAAAAGCAGGAGCCTAAGCCTAAAGTGGAAACTGCTCCTGTCACAGAAAAGCCTAAAGAAACTTCACCTCCTAAACCCTCTGCGACAGAACCCCAACTGCCCCCTAAAGACAGAGAAAGACGAGTGAGTATCATATTTCTTCTTCTTGTATTATATATGTGTATGTGTGTGTTTATTTTGGTTTGAAGGGTAGTACAGTTGATCTAAACCAAGTTCTTTTGATTAGGTATCTTTGGCATCAGAGGGTTCACTCTGCTTGTCTTCATTGGTGCATGATTTTTGATCTGTGGGCTTGTAGCCAAGCTGTATCATAACTGTTAATTATTGGTTTTTTTATTACTGGAGTTGGGAGGTCCTGATTTTTTTTTCCTCTCAAACAAATCTACACTCTATTAGGCACAGTTTTCCTTGATTAGTTATTTGAGTTTCAAGCTAAGTAACTAGATGAGATTAATGCTGTTTTACAATGTGAGCACCTGCGATCTATTTAAGATTTTGTGATGTTCATTATTTAATTTGTAAATACATTTTTGGATTTGAAATTAATCTTACTTTCATCGTACTGTGCTCTCCAAAGAGCAACACATCTCAAAATCTCACTGAAAAGGTGCTTTTGGAATCCCTTTCTAACTAAGGATTCTTGACTGGATCAGCATATGTTTGGTAAAGAGAATAATCTTCTCCTTTGAAAATAATCATGTTGCTGATTGGAATGTTCATTATTTCCGTTACACGAAATTTTATTGAACTTGACAAAATGTGGAGATACCTGAAATCGTCAATTCAAGTTTCCAACCAATGTTCTTCACTTTACGAATGTGAAAATAATCAGTTGGCGAAATTTGGCAGTTTGTCCACGTTCTTTAATTGGGTTGTAGAATTCTGATAATGTACATTTGTGACTTTGTTACAGGACTAATTTAATGAAACTTCGTTCGGACTATAAGGACGCATTTGTTGAAAAGCATGGTGTGAAGCTGGGTCTTATGTCTGGATTTGTGAAAGTATGTAGATATCCTATTTCAAGTTTTCTCTTCAAATATATCCTCATGTCTAATGGCTTACTGTCTCGCTCATTTTCAGGCAGCTGTTAGTGCACTCCAGAATCAACCTATAGTTAATGCTGTTATTGATGGTGACGATATCATTTACAGAGACTACATTGATATTAGCATAGCTGTTGGCACCCCAAAGGCAAGACATCATTATTATTCTCTATGCAGATTTACAAGAAACCGTTTTATGTGGAGCTAATGGTATAGATTTGCAACACATTCCATCTGAGGCTTCCTATATTTTGATTCAAGTTGTCCACTTGATCGCAGAAAATGGGTGACAGGTCTTTCGCTAGAGATAGTATTTAACTTTTATATAAGAAACTAAGCAAGTCTCTCATGTTCAAAGACAAAATCATATGCTGGTAGTGTTTGTGCTATTTGACAAACCAAATATTCTTCACGTAGGATGTGCTATATGACGAACTGAATATTCTTCGTAAGTAGCATAGTGTAAGAACTGAGTCTTCCTGATCTGTAACTGTTTGACAAATCTTTTATAGCCATATGAAATAGGAAAATTTTCTGCCTCTCTATTCTAATTGACCTTCCATTTTTAATAGGGACTTGTGGTTCCGGTTCTTCGTGATGCTGGTAGAATGAATTTTGCGGAAGTTGAGAAAGAGATTAACACCCTTGCTAAGAAGGCAACTGATGGCACTATATCAATTGATGAAATGGCTGGAGGTACATTTACAATATCCAATGGAGGTGTATATGGAAGTCTTTTGAGCACTCCCATTATAAATCCCCCTCAGGTTTGATCCTCCTCCTGGATTTGTATTGGTTGGTTCGTTCTTCTGTTCAGCTCGTACCTTTTACTCTGCTGTGATTAATATCTGTTTACTCACTTGGTATTGTAGTCTGCAATCCTTGGGATGCACTCAATAGTGAACCGCCCTATGGTCGTTGGAGGTAACATAGTTCCAAGACCGATGATGTACATTGCATTGACATATGACCATAGGCTGATTGATGGTAGAGAGGCGGTTTTCTTTTTGAGAAGAATCAAAGATGTTGTGGAAGATCCTCGCCGACTGCTCTTGGATATATGAAGCTGCATCCACCAATGGTGCAGTTTCATATTTGCTAATATATTTGAGTTTCTCCTAGCTTTGAAATGCATCATATTGGAAGTTTTGTGTTACCGTAATTTTTCCTTGCAACCAAGTCATTTTCAGTTTGTGGCCAGCTGTGTCTAGGCTTGAAATGAGATCCTTCGTCTAATGGACACAATTATCTTGTTCAACTCCTTATTTTGAGAGTTGTTTTTTGTACCGATCACCTTGTGCTTGATTTGAATTATTTGATGTTTCTGAATATGTGACACTTGAATGTAGGAGACTTCACGACGGTGGAGAATGATCCATTGTTAGTGTCTATTGCTTCAATGGCTACAATTGATAGCATGGGAAATGCTATAAATTAATAAAATGAATATGCATCTTCTGCGCTGTTATTTTGCAATCTTAACGAGAATACTAATAATTTGCTTTTGTTTTACGTGCACAACCATTGTGTTGGGTTGGCAAGTATAGACAAAAAGGATGTATGAAAAGTGTCTACAAAGGGTTTAAACCGTAAACAGATATAAATGAGTAATGAATTAATAGGTGATATTTATGGATCCTTAAAAAATGTGTAGATGAAAAATGACTTGAATATCTATAAACAATTTATAAACATGAACTGGTCATATAATATCACCTGGAAAATAATGTATCATGAAGAAATGAAATAGAAAACTAGACAATAGAGTAAACAAGCATTGGACTGTACCCAAAAAGTTGGTTGAATATTTGAATAATTTCTTCAATGTGTGATATTTCAAATACGAAAATATTCAAGATGACCGAAACGTAAATATCCATTAAGAGCAATGTCCAGAAGTATATATTAATGGAAGAAACGTTTAGAGTACAATGTATAAATAGTTAAATACCACCATTGGCTAGATTGGAGAAACAAAATTCAAAGATACGCTGAGCGGCTATAACTTGAGGTCGAATTCATCACTGAACAAACAAAACTGTGGTTGTCTGCTAGACGAATATGGAGACTGAGCTTTGAGAAGGGAAAATCCCATTACATTCTAACTTCTATGCCTGCCTTTAACAAGTGCTCTTTCACAGATTGAATAGGCACCTGCAATTCATGAAATGATAAACAGAGATCAATATCAATAATGCATCAATATAAAGAAAAGCACATTCAGGTTTCTAATTACTTTTACCATTTTAAATGTCACAAGTTTATTTCTATCACAATATAGGTTAGCTCGTAGTTTAGATCAATAACAGTATACCACATCATGGATGTAACTGACAGATGTAGCCAAAGAGGTATGTTTGGCTGTGGTTAAAAATTCCGTCAAACTTATTTATTTGTTTTATTTTGCCAAACATGATTTTCAAAGTTATTTCTTTTTGCTAATGAAACGTACTTTTACTTTGTAAAAAGGTAACTTTTAAACACACCTAATAAACTCCAAAGTTCATACTTGATCATGCACAACGAGTGACACATCTTTTATAAGTTACTCAAGCAGAAGCTTCAATGAAACTGAAAGTTTTGTTCAACTGAATACCAAAATACCTCCTTCCGATGGAAAATGCCAGCAGCAAGGGCAGCAGATGCATTTGTTTCCAAGAAAACTTCTGAGAAGTGTTCAACAGCTCCAGCACCACTACTTGCAATTACAGGAATGCTCACAGCATCTGAGATCAGCTTTATTAGATCTATATCGAACCCCTTTCCTTGACCTGAAAGGAACAAATAGACAATCAAAAGACTTATTACAGATTGCTGAGAAGGCATAACTGAATGGCATGTGTCCCTTAACATAACCATACTTTGGAAAGACATCACAACACCCTATAAAATAACTTCACACACACATATTTAAGTTTCAATGACAAAAGAGCACATGGTAGTTCTATGGAAGATTGCAAAAAATCATGTGTACCATCACAGTCTATGCAATTTAGGAGTATTTCTCCAGCTCCCAAATCTTCCACAGCTTTTGCAAGCTCGTATGCTCCAATTGGTCGACCTTCTCTCCCGCCATTCACCTAAAGAATGGTCAAGTTTATTGAGCAAAAAGGATCTCAAGATAGCAATATGCAAAGCAAGACATACAAATGAATACTGAAAATAGAAAACTGAATTTTTCGCATATCAGTTAGTTTTGAAGTGTAGAGACCAGAAACCATCACAATGGAACATATATGAGTGCTTTTTAAATCCCAATGAAATTCAACAAAGATGCAATCATGGTAAAAAGTACTGTTGAATGACAAGAAGTTTGCAGATCAGAACCATTAAGCAGGACCTATCAGTCACAATAATTTGCACTTGTTTATCTATGGCATACTGCAGGGTTAAACTTCCAACACATAGCATTCACTTCTTAGATCAACTGGCCAATTATTTCATATGTGATGATTGCCAGAATAAACCATATACCGAAGTTAGTCTTATCATTTGCAACCTTCATTCATTTTTCTCTCTCACTAGTTTCAAACAAAAAGGTCATTCTTTTTCATACAGGCAAGACTGGCATGAGACACCTGAGAAAGCTATCAAAATGTGTATTTAACTTTGCTGTGCATGCAAGACAAAAGAGAAAGGAATGAGAGCATACAGTGCATTGGTACCATGCGTATTCTTCTCCATTTGGACCTGAAATGAACACGAGCAAATTACACACTTTATCTACTTTACTTCTTTGTACCAGATTTCTCCATTTACAATTTTTATTTTGTTAAGTAGCTGACAGTAGCACTGAGAGTTTCAACATGTACAGTTGTACGTAATAACTGGAAGATTAGAGGGATCCAGAACAATGAACAATTACTGACGGCCAGCTCTAAACAAGATCCCCTTGCACAGCAATAGATTGAATCTGCAAACCAAAGGACTCCAAAGCAACTATATATAGTTAAGACTCTTCAATAGTTGCTCACCTGGATTTCTCACTCTTACAGCCTTGAATTCTACATCATCGGGGTCCTTCAAGTACACCCTACGAGGATCAATGCTTACAACAACCGCCTAATATTTAAGCAGACAAATTCATAAAATTGGCAATGCCATTTTGGAAATGGCAATGTAGAAGCAAGTTGGTGCATGTCATTTTGGTATCAGGAACAAGGAAAGTAACAAATTAGAATTGGCAATGTAACTCTACCTGATTTCCATAAACTTTGGAGATCTGCTCCAGGCTGCTCTTCCCAGTTTTTACCTTAAAAGGAAAAAAAGAAACGTTAACTCAAAATAGGGAAAAAAAAATAAAAATATATGTATATATATAAAAAACCAAAAATGAGGATAAGTACTCCAGTTTTCAAGTATTCTTCAGCTGCATAAACTGCATCACTTCCAATGGAAACCTTATCTGCGCCAGATCGGAAATATTCTGAAGCAACTTCCAAACTAGAGTAGTACCTGAAAAAAGTTAACCAGATCTACACAATAAAATTCTTTTTTTGTCGAAGTTCTGTGACCAGTTATTTAATCTACGAATTCAAGTTTCCTACAGTCACAATGGAAATAAAGCTAAAGAAATACAAACATTTCAAACGAGATGAAGGTCTTTATAATAAATAATGAACAGCTATACCTGCCAGTCCCATCAGTAAAATCACGAATACCTCCTCCAACGGTCAATGGTACAAAAACATTCTCAGAAGTATACCTCAATACCTACAAAGGAACACAAATAGAGGCCATCTTTAATGCATTTTTACATGCAGAAGTTCTATTGATTGGCACACGGGGCACCAATCCATGTACATAGTTAAAAATTCACATGAAACCTACCAACAGTGATTATTCCCAAAATTAAATAAGTTCTACATTACAATATTTCGCTACAAGTGCTAAAGCAAGAACAGAAAATTGAGCATTACAATCGTCAGAAAAACAAACCTGCAGCATAGGCAAATCTCCAAGAGGGAAGTCACGGAAGCCGGTAATATTCAAAAAACTAACCTGAAACTCAATATGTAATCAATTTGAGTTGCTGTAATAGACTGCATTTCTACATGCTCTGTGAGGGATAAGTAATAAAGTCTGTATGTAACAAAAAAAGGCTGTTAATTTTCCTAGGCTAAGGCACACCTCATCAGCCCCATCCAGGTAATATTGTCCAGCAAGATCAACTGGCTTGCCAAGGTTCCTCACCTACAAGGAAAATATAACATATAAGTGCATGTTGCAGATCTTATATCAAATTAATTCGTATTATCAAAAAATAAAAAATATCAAATTAATTCGTATTTAACTCATCAAGTAAAATGATAGTAACAACCTTTAAAATGAACATTATCAAAAGCTTCAACATCCAGTGAATTCATATATCAATCAAGACTTGGAAGATTTTTATGTGTATCTGAATAAAGGAGAATCTGAGTTCATGGCACTAACTACAAGGAACAATTAAAAGAGTTTGAAGTATAATGTAAGGTCCAAGATATGTCACTTAAGAGGATGCTGGAAGAAAATTTTCTGTTGAGATCTTAGCATACAGGGACGATGCAAAAGCACTAGATGCAAACAAACGCAAATGTCTAAAATAATTCCAAGGTAGGAAAATGATAAAAAAAGGTCTAAAAGTAGATTCCACATAGTCCAGCATCGAATTTAAGGAAGGAGACAGAAGGGAATAGAATAGAGGGGGAGGGAGGGCGGGAGAGAGAGAGAGAGAGCATATCAACAATCTAGCAAGTCTTGTATAGATTTATAGATCAATTTCTCTGGGATATGCATAAATTCATGCCATCTAAATCTCAAAATGCACATACCCCAACCTAAAGCATGCAAAAACAAGAAATGTTGCAAGAGGAACACTGATAGTTCGCTAAAAATCCAACTATTATAAAATGCACCAGCTTATACCTCATTCTCTTTGGTGTGCTCTCTCACGTTATATTGGTCTCCTTTGGTTACAACAAGGTCTCCTTTGTCGTTTGTTCTCACATCAAGACAAGCAATGACCTGAACAGTTGTTAAATCAAGCAATAGTTGGTAAATGAAAGTAGTTTCTTTTCACTGGAACAGCAGATAAAATAAAGTGGAAAGAATCTTACTTCTTGGGACTACATTATATGCTATATTAGCCAATTGACGAGAAATTGCTATATAATAAGTTAGAAAAGCAATTTATCAATCGAAATAGGGAACTCACCCTTTTAGCTAGTTTAGAAGCCTTCCTGTGGACTGGTGGCTTCTGTCTTTATGTGAGGATTCAGATTGTTAGATGCTTTAGTGAAATGAGCCAAGAAATATAACAAAATTTGCAGGATTCAAGGCTACCTTTGTTATTTCACACTTCGGATCCAAGAACCTTCTCAGAATAGAAAGACCAACATCTGCAGTCATTTCCAAAAGATGTAAACCTCTAAGAAAATATATATGGTCTCAACAAAAGTTTAAGAACTGAAAGATA